GTTCTGGACCGGACCCGGTCTTTGGTACCGTCTTAGAGGTTCTGGACCGGATCCAGTCTTTGGTACCTGTCTCAGAGGTTCTGGTTCTGGTTTTGTCCAGCTCATCAACAAGGTGGTGTTTGTGGTGAGCTTCGTGGGGAACAACGGGACGTTCATCATGGGCTACCGGGCCATGGTGATGGACGTGGAGTTCCTCTACCACCTGGCCTACGTCCTCACGTCCACGCTGGGACTGTTCGTCCACGAGCTCTTCTACAGCATCCTGGTAAGACCGGCAGAGGACCTGCAGGTCCGCAGGAGGAGTCTGATGTGTCTCGTTGTCTCTGCAGCTCTTCGACCTGATCTACAGAGAGGAGACGCTGTTCAACGTGATCAAGAGCGTGACCCGGAACGGGCGCTCCATCCTGCTGACGGCGCTGCTTGCCCTCATCCTCGTCTACCTCTTCTCCATCGTGGGCTTCCTGTTCCTGAAGGAGGACTTCATCATGGAGGTGGACCCTCTGGTGCCGCTCTCTGCAGGTGTGTTCTTCAGCTTCGAGCAGAACCTGGACTTGTGTTCCGGAGGATCTGATAATGGTGTGTATCTGCAGCTCCGGAGCAGAGCGAGGCCTCCCAGGACTTCCTGAAGTCCTGCTCCTCAGACGGAGTCAACTGCACCGCAGAGATCGGCATCAGAACCTCCTCTGAGGACGAAGGTAAGACCTGTAGGCTCTGATCATGGGTTGACCTGGTACTGTCAGCAGATACACAACGAGGACTTCACAGCAGCCGGGGGTTTGATATCAAACAGGCCCGAAACACCAGCAGATTAAAGGAGTCCCCAGCTTGCACACCTTCCAGCACCTCCATCAAGTACTCCAAGAAGGCCGGATACTCTGAATTAGCATTTGGTGCATAGGCACAAACGACATCAGAGCCTGTCCCCCCACCTAAAGGTGCAGGGAAGCTACCCTCTCATCTACCGGGGAAACTCCAACACACAGACACCAAGTCGGGGGGCTACAAGTAGACCCACACCAGCTCGGCGCCTCTCACTATGGGTAACTCCAGAGTGAAATAAAGTCCAGCCCCCCCTCAAGGAGATCGGTTCCAGAGCCCATGCTGTGAGTCGAGGTGAGCCCAACTATATTTAGTTGGTTTCTCTCAACCTCACGCACAAGCTCAGGCTCCTTCCCCACCAGAGAGATTATGTTG